GTATTAATATAGAAAATGGAAGTTAAAAGGTTTCAATGAAATATGGAATAATTTTCATTTGAATCCAATTTCATTTACAACAATATTCAATAATAGTATTTGATAGTATTGAATCGTTTCGTATTTTTAATGATATTGATGAAATATTTGATTGATGAAGAATAACTGAATATATAATATGTAATATGGTATGACATAAATCACTCAATAAATTTAAAAGAGAAAGAAAAGTAAAATTATTTGATATATAAAAAATATAATAGAATGTTGAAATATGATACTATTGGATGTGAAATCAATTGGATAGGTACATTTTTAATAAAATATTATTCATTAAAATCAATTCATATTCCATCACTAATTATTTCATTTTGAAACAAATGTTTCAATGAATATGAAGAAGAATTAAAGAAGAATGAAAAACATCATGAAATTGTTTTATGAATATTAAAGAAGTGAATAAAGAAATAAAATTATAACAAATAAAATATGATTTAATTTAAAATATAATTTAAGAAAATTAATCACAATTGAATATAATTATCATTTTTAAAGTTAATGAAAGGATGATATTGATTAATACATTTATACTCTTTGATACTGCTATTTTTAATTATAAATTAAAGTTATACTTTTAAATGAATTGAGAAAAATAATAGGTAGTAAATAATGAAATATTTATATATAACATCAATAAATGTATTTGAATTTTTCAAGAAACAATTATTTTGATAAAATTATAATTATATTTTATTATAAAGTATCAATTTAATTTTATTTCTAATAATATTTTAATTTTTTAAATATTCTTAACTGGAATATTATTAATTTTTCATTGATTCTTTATAATTTTTTATTTCTTCATTAATTTCTTCACTATTTTATCTGTTCAGTAATTATTTATCATTCACAATTTCTATTTCTATTCTATTCTATCCATTTGATTTATTAATTTGTTTATTCATATTATATTTTAATAGTGTACTTGTTATTTTTATGTTCATTTGATTCATATGAATGAAATGGACTTAATTAATAAATATTATAATCAACAATTGTTATTAATTATATTGATGTTGCATACAGCACTTATTAATACAGTTATATTATTATAATACGTTCAAATACAGTATCGAGGTGATGTTCTGATATCATTATTTGATATTTACTATTTAACAACATCACTTCAATCTATATTATTTCAACAAATACGTACATTATTTTAAATTAAACAATACCATTTTATAACATCAATAATATGCTTAAATAACGTGATGAATTTAAAAAGAAAAATTATAACGACATTGAAATAGAAATTCATTGAGAATCATCAATTGATATGTAATAATTGTTTTGAATAAGAAAGAAGGAAGAAGTGAACATATTCAATTTTATTCAATAAGTTAATGAATTAATGATAATATTCAATCACTAATTGTTTCATAATAATAACATCAACAATTCAAATGGTATTCAACTTATAAAATAATACATTTAAATCATTCTTCTATAATTTATAATATTATCAATAAAAATATAAGTTGATGTCATTATCAGCATTAATAAATAATTTAACATAGTAATAATAAATTAAATAAAATAAGAATGAATATAATAAAAGAATAAAGAATGTTAAAAATATATCAATTAATAATAACAAACAATTCTAATTAATTTTCAATAAATTACAAATGTGATAGAACGAAAGAGTGAAAAATAAATTAAAATAATCTAAACTATGAGAAATGTTTATAATAACACTTGTTTGAATCATCTTATTAATATTTTTGACTATTTGTATTTTATTGTTATTATTATTTATAGTATTGACATTTATCCATAAAAATAAACAAAACAATGTATATCAATTTAATAGCAAAACAATAAAATATAAGTCACAAATAAAAGAAAATACACATTATTATCAATATAAAATGGTATTACTTTCATAAAAATAAGAATGATTTTATTTGTTGTTATAATGCCATTCATTGCTTGATTAATTTGAATTGAATTAAATGAAAAAATACATAATGCCATATTAATATTAATATATCTTCAAAAATGATAAAGTAATATTCAATAAGTTATTTTATTAACAATTTTCAATGTCATGTAAAAATAATATGTGATAATATCAATTACTATTCATAAATAAATGATACTATTTGTTTAACAAATGATGAAATAACACAATGAAGTACAAAAATAATGATGTATTATAACATTTTGAATTAATTAAATTTCGTCATAATAATTATAGATAAAGATTTCTTTCTTATTTCATATTTATATCATTCTTAACTTTCTAAAATGATGCTAAAATAAAGTTATTCAATTAGAAATATCATTCATCAAAATGATATT